TTAAGGAAGAGTGATGAAGGCAAGTATCCAACTCTTTGTAGTCAATGAAATTTAACTTGGTTTATGTGCTTTGGTCACCATATTTATCAAAAAACTTAAAAATTGGAAAGAAAAACTTAAGGGAAAAAAAGACAATGACAATTTGTATATAGTTTGCTATGACTTTTAGGTGGAGTACTCTGCTAAATGGTTGATGGATTTTAGAAACATAATTTTTCTTACTTATCTCTGATACTAATTCAAAACAACTTGTTTTCTGGGTGTGAAGTATATTAAGTCTTCAGCAAAGCTGTGCTAGAAAAAATAATTGTTGAAAATTCTAAGAACTTAACAAAATTATTTGAAATGCCTGCCCAGTAGGTGGCTGCCTTCTTCGTCCCCTTTTCTTACCATTCGCTCCTTCTGCCTCTCACATTTCTCTCCTTTGACCGCCCCCCCTTTTGTCCCCTTTTCTTACCATTTGCTCCTTCTGCCTCTCACATTTCTCTCCTTTGACCCCCCCCCCCCTTTTTTTCCTGTGTCCTTTTGCTCCTTTTTATCTTCCTCTCTCTGGTTTACTTATATAATTACTTTTCAGAGAAGCTGAGTGAATAAAAGAGAGGCCAACATTTCCTTCTTAACAAAAAAGCATTTGATAGGCTTTGCAGTCAAACTTGTTTATGTTAAACCAGGGACCTAAAATTAGTTAATTGGGCTGGGTATGGTGTCTCATGCCTGTAATCCTAGCACTTCGGGAGGCTGAGGAGGGAGTTCAAGACCAGACTAGCCAACATGGTGAAACCCCATTTCTACGAAAAATACAAAAATTAGCCGGGCATGGTGATGGGTGCCTGTAATCCCAGCTACTTGAGAGGCAGAGGCAGGAGAATTGCTTGAACCCAGGAGGCAGAGGTTGCAGTGAGCTGCGCTCCAGCCTGGGTGGCAGAGTGAGAACCTGTTTCTAAATAAATAAATAAATAAAAATTAGTTATTTGGAGAATTTTATAAACTGACCAACAGTTATTCATTTGAGCTTCTGTAAGACATACAGAAGAAAAGAAGGGTGTTCCTATACAACTTTGAGATTATTGAATTCCTTTTGTGTTTGCATTCTTACTGTCAGCAACTGTATAGAGTTAGTTATTGCAATATCACTACTGTTGGCATTTTTGCCACAGCATTTGACCTTAGTGGCTTTAAAGATTTTCTATTGGCCTACAGAAAATTTTAGCAGCCTTCAAAACCTTGACCAGTTTCTTAGTGCTGCTATTATGCAGATGATAGCTACAAGAGTAAGTACCACATTACATTTTATCAGTTCAGTAGATTGTTTTTCAGAATTCTTATCTTAAAACTTGATGGTTAAAGCTCAATTTAGGTTTCTTTAGGGCTGCATGCCAGGTGAGGCTATGTGCTGGTATGATTAAGGTAAGTTTTGCCTTTGAAAATCCCAGAATTTATTAACTATTTTCTTGCTTATAGCTGTGAAGACAGTCTTGGCATGAAAATTAACACCTTAGTTCCAGTTTTTTTCCTGGAAATGCTAACATTTCCTTATAATCATCATTTAAAATTATTTGAAAATAAATGATTTGGCCTGGTGTGGTGGCTCACGATTGTAATCCCAGTGCTTTGGGAGGCTGAGGCAGGTATCACTCGAGGTCAGGAGTTCGAGATCAGCCTGGCCAACATGGTGAAACCCCATCTCTACTAAAATTACAAAAATTAGCCGTGCATGATAGCACGTGCCTGTAATCCCAGCTACTCAGAAGGCTGAGGCAGGAGAATCACTTGAACCCAGGAGGCGAAAGCTATGGTGAGCCAAGATTGTGCCACTGCATTCCACCCTGGTGACAGAGCGAGACTCCCATCTCAAACAAAAACAAAACAAAAAGTGAATGATACACAAATACTTGTGAAATCTGAAATGAATTTACTGACATTTAAAATGTACCACATTCTCCATTTTTTAAATAGGCAGCAACCAGATGGCCAGCTGATTAGTTTATAATAGTGCCCAAATAAGTAGATTTGCTGAGTAATAAATTCCTAGTACTTTTGCATATGAAACAAGTAGATCATTTGGTTTCTCAACTAACCTTGACATCATTCCTTTATTCATGCTATCGTTTAATCTCATGGGATAAACTTATTTTATACATTTTACTTCCAACAACAACAAAAATCAGTTGTATTAGCTAATATAGTGCAAATAAAGGAAATAGTAAACTACTTTTTCACTTCTATTCTGCTGCTTTCACACCCTCCCATCTTCTCAGGATCTAAATAGCCCAGTGCAAGAAGAGATGAGTTGATATATGCTGATAGGGACTTATTTTGGTTACATTAGCCCTTTTCCTCTGAGGAGCTCAATTCTTTACAGATTAGAAATAAAATTCAGTAACTGTTAGCCAGACAAACTCATGAGGAATGATGAGATTATTATTTTAAAAAATCAGAGTAACATTGTATTATATGTTTATTTCATATTTGTTTAGAAGGGAATAATTATACACTATTGGCAAAATTTTTGCCCACAAGGAGCCCCAGAAAACTGCACTAGAGGCTAAGACAGTCATTGATCTAATAAGGGCAAGGGTTTCTTTCTTGGCTCTCCCAAAGGGAAAGAAATGAACAAAAGCAATGCACAATCAGAAAAGGGGTAACAGGCCACAGTGGGATGGCTAGATTTCAGTGGAGCCACAAAGAATTTGGGTGAAAGGCAATGAAACTTCCATTCTCATGGTTTTTATTCATTTGCCTAATTTAGGAACAAACAATTTTGTGGCATTTAGAAGGAAGGTACTAGAAAGAGACAAATAAATGTCACCCTGTTTATACTCGTCAATCATGAAGAGGTTAGGCAATGGAATCACCGGCATGAAATAATATGGACAGTGGAGCCACAGTGACAGTGCCCATATAATATTTGAAGAAGGTCTTCTGAGAGTAGTTATCAGGAAGAAAACTTTAGTGAGTTTGCATTCCTGTTCCACTAAACTCTAGTAGCCTTGAGTTCACGGGAAACTCTTTTATCCAGCTAATTTATGGCTTTCTAGATTGCCACTTGGTGGCAGCAAGTTCAAATATTCCTAGAACAGGAGCACCATGGTGCTTCATTGGTAATGGGCTAGATTGTTGAAAGTACTCGGTAGTATAGGGAGTTTTAAAGTCCTTTAAACCAAAAGTTGAAGAAAAATATGAAAATAAAGAACCTCCTACATCGTATTTTGCCTTCTCTAGAAGCTTCTGTGCATGTATATAATTTTGTTTTATATATTTGCACAAATGCAGTATAAAAATAAACACTTTCTATTAGGAAAAAATCTTATCATCTCCCATCCCCCCTCCTTTTTTTTTTTGCATGTGATTTTAGTAACCATGGCAGTTGTGCTGATTTTGTATCTTTTAGTTTCAGCTTCCTTTTAATTTCCTGCATTTAATACTGATACACGGTTGCTATTTGACCTTTCTTTTTCTTTACTCTTCTATCATACTCAGTTACTTTGCCTTTGAGTTTGTGTGGATATATAGGAAGCTTCTGTCAGGGATGACACTATAGAGAAAGGGATTTCTTTGAATCTCCTTTCTTGATAGCTGGTACTGAGCAAAGCTCTAGTCTCTGAAGACTGATTCTGTCTGAACCATTCACTCATATGGTGCCAGAAAGGTCATTTGTGCTTCAGCAGATAATTCAACTTACAGGAATTTTATTTCTTTTCTCTCCTCAAAAGAGCAAATCTGTCATCTCTAGTTACCAGTGAGCTTGATGAATATGAATGGTAACAGAAATTCCTGTTTTCCATTAAAATCGTCATATACTTAGATCAGGATATCCACTTCTCACTGTTATTCTCCGACTATACTGAGTTTCAGCCTGTGGATAATTAACTGTGGTTATGAATGAGAGGGATTAAATTGCCTCAGCTAAACGTATTTGGATGGTCTGTTCTCTTGATTTCCCAAACAATAGTTGTTCTGTCAACTACCATTATAGTGTCCATTCCAAGATGGCTCCTCTAATATCTAATTCTGTATATGTTGAATCTTATAGGGATTTTTGTTTTTGAACATTGCTGTTTTCATTTCCTATGTTCTGGGCTTTTTCTCCTATTCTAAAAAATAATCATTACCCACTATCTAGAAAACTGTCTTTTAATCTTCTGATTAAAGATTGCTTAATGATAGTGCCTATTTGTTTGGCCAATAGCATGTTTTTCTTTGTTTTAACACTGGAGTTTCTGCATGGATTTATAATATAAGGTTTTTTTTTTTTTTTTTTTTTTTTTTTTTTTTTTTTTAACATTAGATAGGCATGAAGCCTTCGTCTCACAGCTGCATGCGTAGTCACTGTTGAAGCAAATGCCTACCTAATTTGACACTCTTGGTGTGTTAAAAAATTTTTTTTGAGTTTGCAAATAAGCATATTAAGTCTACTTATGGAGCCTTCGGGCAGTGAACAGTTATTTGAGGACCCTGATCCTGGAGGCAAATCCCAAGATGCAGAGGCCAGAAAGCAGACAGAATCAGAACAAAAATTGTCTAAAATGACCCACAATGCTTTGGAGAACATTAACGTGATTGGCCAAGGCTTGAAGCATCTCTTCCAGCACCAGCGCAGGAGGTCATCAGTGTCTCCACATGATGTGCAGCAAATTCAGGCAGATCCAGAACCTGAAATGGATCTGGAAAGCCAGAACGCATGTGCTGAGATTGATGGTGTCCCCACCCACCCCACAGCTCTGAATCGTGTCCTACAGCAGATTCGAGTGCCACCCAAGATGAAGAGAGGGACAAGCTTGCATAGTAGGCGGGGCAAGCCAGAGGCCCCAAAGGGAAGTCCCCAAATCAACAGGAAATCTGGTCAGGAGATGACAGCTGTTATGCAGTCAGGCCGACCCAGGTCTTCATCCACAACTGATGCCCCTACCAGCTCTGCTATGATGGAAATAGCTTGTGCTGCTGCTGCTGCCGCTGCTGCGTGTCTACCAGGAGAAGAGGGAACTGCGGAGCGGGTAAGTTTTTCCCCTTTTCAAATGGGTAAATAATAATTATAGCTAATAAATGAATGTTTAGAATTATATTCCTGTTTCCTTCCTAACATATTGCTATATTTGTCCTTTTATTAAAATCTTAAGTACATTTCATATATTCTTTCTGTATATTTAAGAAGGTCAGTTTTCGGTGGCTCACACCTGTAATCCCAGCACTTTGGGAGGCCGAGGAGGGTGGATCACGAGGTCAAGAGATCAAGACCATCCTGGTCAACAAGGTGAAACCCTGTCTCTACTAAAACTACAAAAAATTAGCTGGGCATGGTGGCGCGTGCCTGTAATCCCAGCTACTCAGGAGGCTGGGGCAGGAGAATTGCCTGAACCCAGGAGGCGGAGGTTGTGGTGAGCCGAGATCGCGCCATTGCACTCCAGCCTGGGTAACAAGAGCGAAACTCTGTCTTTTCAAAAAAAAAAAAAAAAAAAAAAAAAAGGTCAGTTTTATGGTAGAGGAATAAAGATGCTTTGTTATTGTTTTGATTTTGCACATGGAAATGGCTTTCTTACGTTAATGAATGTAGTGAATAAAGTTTAGAATCTGAGTTTGCCTATACTTACCATGCAAGTACACTAAGATGGTTATAATTTTTACATACTTTGTAGTACATCATCAGCATTTGTTATACATTTTGCATGCCACAATAGAGTATATACATTATTATAGTTTGCTATTAATAAACAGATTGTTTTGGGTTTACCCAACTAGGTATATTAAATTTAGGAGAAACTTTTTCATATAATTCTAAGTTATAGTTAGTTGAGGCACATAGTAGAAATAGTCCTGCTAGCATTTGAAAACTCAGGTACATACATGTAGCTATGTATGTAGTGACAGCAAGTGACTTAAGTGTTATGGACACTGGAGAAATTAAGGAGTTCCTGCTTTGTTTAACAGGGACAATGTCTTAGCTTTAGCTGATGGTTAAAATTTAGTAGTGTGGGCACCATCTTACCAGAGCTTCTGATTTTTTTCAAGAGAAACTGGAAATCTAGATGAGAAATTTCTTGATTTTTAACAGATATGCGAGCCATACTGAACACATTTGTGGGCTAAGTCAGCCTTGTAAATTACCATTTAACTGTCTTTTCATATTACTTTTGTGTATTCCTTAAGGCTTTTATTTGATCATTTTCATTCTGTGTCTGCTTGTGGCACAGTGAAGTTTTTATTTTTTTTCAATTGTATATTAAGTTACCTGGAAATGTAAATATTGAGTCTAGAACCTTAAATCTTTCCTAACTAAATGTGATATTTAAAACATATAGGTAATGGACAGTAAGTCACTTTAAATCTGTCAAAATAATGATTTGAATTAAAATTTTAAAAATGTAAATGAGGAAAAGTAGCATATATTTGTGTGTGTAATCATATTATTTATTTGTTTTTTTTAGGTGGCAGAGTTTAGCCTGTCACCTAGGCTGGAGCGCAGTGGTGCAATCACGGCTCACTGCAGCCTTCACCTTCCAAGGCTTAGGTGATCTTCCCACCTCAGCCTCCCGAGTAGCTGGGACCACAGGCACCTGTCAACATGCCTGGCCAATTATTTATTTGTTTGTTTATTTGTTTGTTTATAGAGAGGATATTTTGCCATGTTGCTCAGGCTGGTCTCAAACTCCTGAGCTCAAGTGATCCTTCCACCTCAAACTCCCAAAGTGTTGGGATTACAGGCATGAGGCACTGTGTCTAGCCTATAGTAGTTACCTTTGAAATAAAAAGAATATTTGGTCACTGATTACTCAAGCTAGTTGGCAATAAAGATTGACATTGCAACTATGTAACGTGTCTTAATCTTCAGCCTTTACCAGAGAATACTAGTAATCACTGCTAGTGATTCTGGGATTATAGACTTCTTTGTTAAAAGGAAAAAGTGTAAGTAAAGCAGATTTTATTGGAAATTTCCAGAGAAAGAGGGTAAAGTAAGAACTTTTTTTTCATAACATTGTTTCTTTAATGCTCTTTGTCAGCTTTACTAACATATACGTACAATAAAATCCACCAGTTTTAAGTGTGTATCTTGACTAGTTTTGAAAAATGTGTAGTTTTATATGAACACAGTCATTATATAGAACATTCCTGTTACCCCAAAATAATGATTTATCATGCCTCTTTGCTGTAGTCAATCCCCTCTTACCTAACCTGTGTGGCCTCTGATAGCCACTGATCTGCTTTCTATTGCTATAGTTTTGCCTTTTCTAGAATTTCCTAAAAAATGGTATCATACAGTCCTTTGTGTTTGACTTCTTTCATGTAGTGTAATGCTTTGCAATTGTTGATTCAACTGTTGTTGTATGTGTCGATAGTTTGTTCCTTTTTATTGCTGCACTCCAGTCTAGGCAACAAAAAAAGACCATCTCAACCCACCCCCTACCCCCACCGAAAAGATAGGTGTAAACTTTGGCGCTTCTAAAGGGAAAGTTTGAAGTTACGGATTCAGGTTCTCTATTAAGGCTAACATCACTTCAAAGGTCACTGTATTAATTTCTTATTTATAGCCAAACTTTGGAAAAGCAGTGTACATTAGGCTGCAGTAAGGGAAGTTTTTTGTATCACTTATAATATGGGCTGAAAGAAAGGGAAATTTTTGTAATGCCTGGCTGTACATGGAAGATAGAGAAAAGAGGAAGAAGTCTGGGGGAGATGTATGTGTTCAAATAAAAAGATTTCTAAGTTTGAATTAATTGAACTATAAGCAAAACTAATAAGGCAGGTGTATTCTCCCAGCGAAGAAATGAAGCGGGGAAAAGGATAATTCCTGTTATTGACCACCAGGTGGTGCCCTAGGCCAGGATTGGTAGGTGGAAGTGCTAATATGGATTACTGACAGGACATTGATTAATTCGGGGTGATAATTTTTAAAGTGACTGTACAGGAAGTCATTAGGATATGGGCTAGCCTGAGCACAGTGACTATCATATAGTGATAGAGCTCTTAAAAATATTGAACTGAATTGATAAGTGTGAAAGTGGGATGGACAATAGAACAGGTAGAATTTGATGACAGGAATAAATAATAAATAACAACTGTTAGAATAAAAAATTTTTAAACTCAAAGATTTGCTTGGGAGAATCAGTTAGAAAATACAGTCCAATTCCACTAAACAGTTGAAAAATTGTATTTTTTTAGGGAAAACCATCAGTTTTAGTTGGGCGGCTGACACCCACTGTGCAGAGAATGTCTTACAGGCATTTAATAATATGGGACTGGAAAAGTAGGCATAAGTTAGAGATGAAGATGTATTTTTGGCTTTCTAATTGTTCTCCATTAAAACTTAATTGTCAAAGCAAGTAACTTACAGGTTTATTGACCCTGCCTCTGAAGGCCAGAATGTTATGGCTACGTCTTTTCCCTCGATACTGAGTTTCCTTTAATATAAATATGTGTTCATTGGCCCAGAGATATTTTGATTATCCTTAATGATCTCATATGAGCATCAGGTATAGTTCTTCGAAGAGTGAAAATGAAGATACAGATAAGCTAACTGTTCCTGATCTTAGTAAATTTGTTATGCAAAGTGTAATAACATAGGGATGCTTCTTAAAGTTTTTGTTTTGAAATGGAGTCTTGCTCTGTTGCCTAGACTGTAGTGCAGTGGTGTGATCTCGGCTTACTGCAACCTCCCAGGTTCAAGCGATTCTCTTGCCTCAGCCTCCTGAGAAGCTGCAATTACAAGTGAACACCACCATACCAGGCTAATTTTTGTATTTTTAGTAGAGATGGCGTTTCACTGTGTTGGCCAGGCTGGTCTTGAACTCGTGACCTCAAGTGATCCACCTGCCTCAGCCTCCCAAAGTGCTGGGATTATAGGCATGAGCCACCACGTCTGGCCAAAGTTTGTTTTTTTAAAGTCTGAGTTCCTGTCTTTCTGTTCAGAAGCAGCACCTTTTATGATGAAGGCTCAACATAATGGAAAGCAAAGTTCACTCTTTAACCTCTTTTTCCTTTATACAACAAAATAGTCACAGGCTTTAGGGTAGTTAGACTCCTAAAGGTGTATAGTGTGTGAGCTAATTTCTGTTTTCCCCTTTTATTCATCAGAGATTTGGGTACTTTATGAATAGCTCTGAATCTTAGGAGTAGAGGAGAAGAATTTTGGTTGCCAAAGTCCACTACTCTTTGGTTTATCCAGAACGCTGATATAAGATCTTGCTTCCAAAGAATCATAGATAGATAGATAGAAGGATAGGCTAAGATCATGTTTTGTGTAAGGTAATTACTAGAACAGACTTTTTTCTTTAGGGATCTCAGTAAAGCATTTTTTCTCAAGAAAGACAACTTTGGCAATTTAGCACAGTGTTGAGCTAGGTAGTTATTTGCTAAAAATCAACTTATTTTGATGTTATATCATCATGGCCTGTGATCCTGTTGGTCAGTATGGGCAGGATTTCATTTTTGAACTTTTGTACTTCAGGGTCACAATTAATATATGTTATGTGTTAATTTGTGTCTCTTACTTTGTATATACATAGACTTTGAGAATATGTTCCCAAATAAAAATTTATATAAAATGCTGTTTTTGTTTTGTTTTGTTTTTTGAGACGGAGTTTCACTCTTGTTGCCCAGGGTGGAGTGCAGTGGCGCAATCTCAGCTCACTGCAACCTCCACTTCCTGGGTTCAAGCTATTCTCCTGCCTCACCCTCCCAAATAGCTGAGTTTACAGGTGCACATCACCATGCCTGGCTAATTTTTGTATTTTGAATAGAGACAGGGTTTCACCATGTTGGTCAGGCTGGTCTTGAACTTCTGACCTCAAATGATCCACCTGCCTCAGACTCTCAAAATGCTGGGATTACAGGCATGAGCCACCGTGCCAGCCTAAATTGTTTTATTTTAAAAATTAAAGTTATAGCAAATCTTTTTATTTTATTATTATAACATCTTGCTGGGATAAGAAACTCTGACTCAGATTTCTAAAATTGTAATAATGAGGAAGCCAAGAATTCAAAAATCTTGAGTTGCAAAATGAGTCCCTTGCACCACAGATGATTTCTAGTCAGTAGATCATTGGCTGCTGCCAAGTGACTAGCAGACTCATAGACTGTTAAGCTACTTTGATTAATACTAATCAAACTCCTGATTTTACAGGTCCAGAAATGTTAAAAATCTGCCTGAAGTTATACAGTTAATTATGAGTGATGCCAGGACCAGATCCCTGGGTTCCCTCTTGTTCTGTGTTTAGCATTCTTGCCTCTTTACCTGGTTGAACATGCCAGAGAACTGAGGAACAACAGTTCTTTCAAGCAGGAAATAAGAAAAGGGGAAAAGAAAGTTTATTCCTTTTTCAAAGATTTGTTGCTAGATCAGCTTGTTTGAATGAAGGCAGAAATCTAAGAGCAGTGACAAAGACTGTTCATCCCTACCTCTGTTTGGTTTCTTAGGTTATTATGTATTTTTTGAGTTGGAATTGGGGTCTTGCTCTGTTGCCCGGGCTAGAGTGCGATGGTACATTCATGGCTTATTACATCCTCGAACTTCTGGGCTCAAGGGAGGCCAGAAGACTGAGGCTTCACCTCAGTCTCTTGACTCAGGACTATAGGCAGGCACCACCATGCCTGGCTCTTACTTCATTACTTCTAAACAACTTCTGCCATCATTTTCAGATGGGTAACAACGGAAATCAAATCCTGGAATGATTCCCTAAAGTTATTTTAATCCCATTCATCACTAAAATATGAGCAATGACATCGTGGATTCTCAGATGTCTAAACAAAATAATAACAAAGTAGTTATTATTTACAGTGCCTAAAAACTAAGGCCTCATAAATATATGTATTTATATTTGAGACAGGGTCTTGCTCTGTCACCCAGGCTGGAATGTAGTGGTGTGATCACAGCTAACTGCAGCGTTGACCTCCTGGGCTCAGGTGACCTCCCACCTCAGCCTCTCCAAGTAGCCGGGACCAGAGGTGGGTGCCACTGCACCTGCCTAACTTTTGTATTGTTTTGTAGAGGAGTTTTGCAGTGTTGCCCAGGCTGGTCTTAAATTCTGGGTTCAAGTGATCTGCCCACCTCAGCCCCCCCAAAGTGCTTGGGATTACAGGTGTGAGCCACTGTGTGTGGCCAAGGACTTTTATATTTAGCGAGATGGCTGGTTAAATAGTCTTCATGGAGTTATTTCTGCATTGTGAGGTTGAGGGTGGGATGGAAACTAGAGCCCATAAATAAAGTTTCTTATTAACCACATATGGTGTTGCAGAGTTATAGTAAGAGTGATGATGATGAGAACCATCTCTGTTATCTGATTGCTTCAAGACACCAAGAAACCTGCCCTGGAAATGCTGAATTTTAATGAACTCATAAAATGAACTTTAATTGGGAATCAA